CGGCGCGCGCGGGGCGCCCGCTGGTCCCGGGGACGCCGGGGCCGGTGCTCGCCCGGCGCCTCGGCGGCGTCCAGCGCCCGCGCGGGCCGTTTAGCCGCGGGCCGTTTCAGAACGGCGCGTGCTGAGGCGCCGGCCGCTGGGCCCGGCCCCGCGGGGAGCTGCAGCCGCCTGGCTACGTGCGGGACGGCGCACACCTCCATCCCTCCATCCCTATTTACTTGTTTATTTGGAGCCTGTCTGGTTAGTGATGCCGGGGAAGCTGGACAAGGGTTTTGCCAGGGAAGCCGCCGTTTGGGATTCCATTCCTACATGGAACGTGGATTTGCCGTGTTAGTACTATGCATGGAACAGCCAAAGGGTTCGGCACCCACTGCTGACTGCACCTCTTCGGTGCCCTTTTCCTAGGTACTCCCAGGATGGGAGCTCGGGTTGGGTGGTCTCCCCTCAAGGGGGCTGCCTTCCCCTTCCCCTTGCCCTGGCTGGGAATGTGAGCGTCACCCTGAGCCAGTGCCCTGTGTGGGCATCAGAGCTGCTCAGATCGTCCTGTTTTGGGACACGGACAGGTCATGCAGCCTCCAGCGGGAAGGTCCGTGGCTCTGCCCATCTTGTGCCAGCCCTCCTGGCCCGTTGACCCTAGCCAGGGCTTTTCCAAGGGTTTGTCCTAGCCCGGCTGCAAGCTGGGTTGCTGTACGTGCGTATTCACACACATGGAGTAACGTGTATACACACAGGGGAAATACTTGTGGGTCACCTGCCTGTGGTACAATATGTACTTGTAGGTCACCTTATTAGTGCTTCACATTCTGTACAGATGAAGGTTCCTTGCAATAATAACAAAAATGTTGGTTGGAAAGTGTCTCCATTGGATCCAAGGCTTATAATCCACTGAGGTGTGTTTTTTTTCAGGCTGGTGTTTTCCTCCCCACTTGGAAGTTCTAGGGAACTTTGTGTAGGGATCAGGAGATCAAGTTCACTTTGGAATATGTGATTGCACTGTTATTTAGAACTTCAGAAGAAGTGAGAAAAACATCTTTTTTTTTTAATTATCGTGCTCAAAGTAATTACTTTAATCTCTCTCAAAAAGGGGGAGGAAAGGACTGTTCTTGTAACTCCAGTTGGGTAGTGAGATAATCTTTTCGATGCTAAGGCATCATTACCCTTCTGTACTGGCATGAAAGGCTCTAGTGAGAATTTGGAAAGTAGGATATGAGGTACGGATTGCAGATTTGGGCACCAAAATATTTGTTTCCTTGTTGTTATAACTCTTCTTTCCCTTTTTGTTGCAGGGCACTCATATTTCCCTTTCTGATCCGGCAAGGAAAGCCCACCCCGTTCTTCACTTTTGTGCTGGCGCTCCTGTTCTGTGTCTACAATGGGTACTTGCAAGGCCGGAGCTTAAGCGCCTACGCAGAATACCCCTCCGACTGGTTGGAAGGGCCTTGCTTCATTATAGGTAAGGTGAAATGCATTGTGAGAACATCAGCAGTAAAACCCTTAAACCCTTTTTCCTTTATTTATTTTTTCTTATGGCTTCTTGCTATACTTTTATCATGATATTTTTTAATTACAAAATAGCTATTCAGGATTTTAAATAGCTTTGTCTTGTTTGCTCTGTATAATAGGTGTACAATAAGAAAGGTTAAGATACAGAGAATACAGGTTAAGAAAAGATTAATAATAGGTTAAGAATACAGATCTGCTGTATTCCAGTACTATTGGCAGCTGCATTTCGGCCTTAAAAGCCCTTACCATTCAGCTATTTACTTTAACAAATGAGAATCTTCTTTTAATAGGACCATTCTTTTATCTCACCATGGAGTAGGGGCTTCAGTCCTCCCAGGAGCTGCCATTACATTTATATTTGCTATCAAGCATGAAAATGACAGGAAAATGTAGCAGAAATGTTGGCTTTGCTTTATATTCAGCTACCAAAAATCAATATATTTTTCCCAATGAAATCTTTAGCAAAAGATCTAATTGGAGATAACCCAAAATTTAGCCACCAGGCAGAAAAAGAGGCTGTGTCAGTCACTGATGTGACCAATATAGCTTGTTATTCCGCAGCTAGAACAAATCAGTTCTCTCATATTTCTCAAGCTCAAGAAGTCTTTACCACCATTATTGCTGATCAAAACAGACTGTTCAGCTTAATGCTGTATGAAGAGTTTAAGCTTGAAATAGATTCTCTTGCACAGATTAGGACATTATTTCCCAAAAAGGGAAAAATTAACGCACAAGGGAATAATTTTGGTGGGAGCTGGACACTTGTATGGAATTGAAACTCTCTTGGTGCTTGACTGAAATTCTTGTCATCTTAAACCTGATACTGATTGACCTGGCAAATTGTACAATATCCGTTGCAACATAGACTATAACCTGAGGGTTCTGGTGTCCTGATTTTCCACCTCATCAAAAGATAATCTCAGTTCAGTTGAGTTCTTTGGTAAACAAACTGTGAGTCAAGAAGAAATATCAATTAGTGGATTTTTATAATTACCACTTCATGTTGGTCCCAGCAAGCACCTCCAAACAATTCAGTGCCAAATATCTGCAGTTCATGCTTGTAGTTTGGGTGGCTCAGATGCAGCCTGGCTCTGTCACACACCGAATACATTCTGAACAATTGTACTGCAGTGCTCTCAACTTTCAAAAGGCTCTGTCACTGTCTCGTGCCTCTGGACAGAACGACAAGAAAAACGGAGTGAAACAGCAAGAACACTCCTTTGCCAAGGAGTGTTATGAGATTGTCACTTAAGTTTATTAAAAGTTAAGTGAGGAGCAGAAATGTGTCTGAAAGTAGCAGGCAGTAAAGGTTCAGGAGCTGGAAGCTGCAGTGAGCTAAATTTGAGGTGAAAATGTAGAGTTGGAGGAATGAGGCTAATGGACTATTAGGACTGGGGGTTTTGAAGAACTGTGTTCTCAGTCAGTGGGTGCTTAGGGTGAATATCTGTTTTCAGGTGCTCAGGAGCGAGCCATGGGAACTCAATGGCTTGAATCTCCACTAGCAGTGTGGCACCCTCACAGTTGCAATTGGGAACCAATTTAATTCGGAGAGCTATGAATGAGGTCCCCTTCAGTGGGTAGGCAGCGCAGGTAGGACTGAGGGTAAACAGAGGTTAAAAATGCAGATTAAAAGTCATAAAATTACCCAAATCTCATAGATTATTGAATGTCATAGAGGTTATAGATATAACGCCCTTAATTTGCTTTACATTTCCTGAAATGGAACAGGCTGGTGAGTTGGGCAGAGAGGAACCTCATGAGGTTCAATAAGGATAAGTGCAGGGTCCTGCACCTGGGGAGGAATAACCCCAGGCACCAGTACAGATTAGGGGTTGACCTGCTGGAAAGCACCTCCACGGAGAGGGACCTGGGAGTCCTGGTTGACACCAAGTTAACCATGAGTCAGCAGTGTGCCCTTGTGGCCAAGAAGGCCAATGGGATCCTGGCCTGCATCAGGAGGAGCGTTGCCAGCAGGTCAAGGGAGGGGATTCTGCCCCTCTACTCAGCTCTGGTGAGGCCGCACCTGGAGTGCTGTGTGCAGTTCTGGGCTCCTCAGTATGAGAGGGACGTGGAGCTTCTGGAGAGGGTCCAGAGAAGGGCAACCAGGATGATTAAGGGAATGGAACATCTCTTGTATGAAGAGAGGCTGAGTGAGCTGGGCCTGTTTTCTCTGGAGAAGAGAAGGCTCAGAGGGGATATGATTAATATGTATAAGTTCAGGAAGGGAGAATGCAGGGAGGAAGGGGACAGGCTGTTCTCACTGGTGGCCAGCGATAGGACAAGGGGTAATGGCCACACGCTGAAGCATAAGAAGTTCCGTCTCCAGGTG